TGTGAAAACTCAGACTCAGCATCATAAAAATATAACTGTAAATACCTAGGTCGTCCATCCCTTGGAACTAACTGATCAATTTTATGATATACTCCTCCATGTGCATGAAAAGTATATACATCGGATGTCATATTATTCATTGTCTCATCCAAAGTTACACCCATCGATGTGAAAGAAAAGTTCGTGTTGTATGCACGTATGTTGTGCCTAAACATTTTGCCCAATTCAGATTATGATGTGAAGAGATTGTATAATTCTTCGGGAATGGGAGAGTATGCTAACTTTGTCTTCCCACACATGCAGCAGAAGGAAGGGAATTCAAACTTGAATCGTTTTGCTCCGCAATGAGTACATGCAGGTTGTTCATTCAAAAGGCGATGTTCCTTAGGTATACGTCTGTAAATATAATCGTATGGATCTTTCTCAAAGGTGTCATTTTGATTTGGTGAGATGACAATGACCTCAGTAGAGGTTTCTACATCTAGGACATTTGMATGTAAAAATATGGTTAACATTTAAGAACTAAACCTATGTAAAAATATAGTTATCATTAAAGAACTATATCTATGAATACAAGAATGTAAAAAATAAATTAAATAATAATTTACAAAACTATAAATGTTCTGTTGGAAAAAAATAAATTGAATCATATATGAAGCGACGATAATAAAAATTGACGCTTGAATATACATAATAAAGATATGGATTTTACCTGTAACATCCATAACTTCATTATTCTCTATGGTAGTTGTCAATGTTTCAATGCTTGTATGTGGGTTACCACTTGTTGCTGTTATGTTGTTTTCCTTACATCGTAGATAATAATTTCTATTATAAGTTCTCCTTTTTTCAGCAAGGGCTACTGCACTAACTAGTGTTGTATCCGCTGCAGCTAAATTGGTGACAGGTGTTGCACTAACTGGTATGGTGTCCGTTGCATTGAAATTGGTGACATGTGATTGACTATTTCTCTCAGCAAGGACTATTGCACTAAGTGGTGTTGTATCCGTTGCAGCTAAATTGGTGACAGGTGTTGCACTAACTGGTATGGTGTCCGTTGCAGTGAAATTGGTGACATGTGTTGTAGATTGACTACTTCCTTCGCCGATTGCTAATTTTTGCCTTTTGTTAATATCCTTATGTCGTGCATAATAGTCTCGATTGTATTGTTTTCATTTTTCTGTAAGAATATGATTTTCCGTGAAATGTATATTATAAATTAGTATATATCATAAAGACATAAATATTATAAAGGTAGTTCCATTTCTATATACTACACTTACCTTTCTTCAAATCTAGATCAACTTGTGTAACAACACCATTGTCACCTTCATCGTCTACATCCTCATTAACAATCCTCATTTTACACTGTAAAAATACATAAAATGAATAAAATATAATTTTTCGTTTATCATTATTCTTTATTTGGATGTTAAAAAAATTATCATTATCATCATCAAATGCAATCACACCAATTACCAAATATCATCACCAAATGTAAACACAACAAATACTATAAAAGTCATTACCAAAAGTTTATAACTAAATGTTATCGTAACAAAAAAACGAATAAAACATGATAATAGTCTTGATTATCCACATATTTTTATATTTGATGATAGCAATCTAATGTTATCCGCTTCTTGCATCTGTGGTTCGAACTCAATCTTGGTTAACTCTGTAGAACTCAAAATATTCATTGAAAATTATATAAATAATATAAATTATTATATTCATTAATTTTAAATAACGGTGCACAAAAAAGATTATATAGAAATTAATTTATAACGTATTTGACTTCTTATGGATAGGTTTAAGTCGAGATGCATATATTATAGATTTATCTTTGATTGCACGAGCGATCCTTATAGGACGTGTACGTGGAGTGTCAATCAAATTCATCTTTATTATATACCCCATGTTCATAAAAATGAACGCATTTAAAATTTGTAATAATAAGTTAACTACATAAGTATAGATATGTGTGTGGTTGTGTATGTGTGTGTGTGTTGTTTAGAAAAATGTATATACTTACGTTGCATCTTGTAGAAAAAGTTCACATGAACCAAATCGAAATATATGTTTATGACGTACATACGTTACTCGTCCTCCCGCGATGATTTTTCCAACAATATCTGAACAATGTTATTCATATGCATAAAAATTAAACAAAAATTATGGTTTTAAAAAAATTGTAATTTTAATTGATAGTTTAGATGTACCAATAAGTATTTTCTTAGTGGTCTTATCCTCCGCAACAGTTTTAATTGACGGCACCAATGGATAGAATGCAATATCACTTGCTAATGGAGTAAGCTTTGCATTCTTGCTGATAAGAATCATCCATTCATCGTGGACGAAATTGTATCGTTGGTATGACGGGCAGTCACAATATATTTGTTCAACTAGAAAATAATTCAAAGCAAATACACCACCCACCAAACTCTTTTTTTTGTATGACTCCAATAAACGACGTAGGATAATTGCTACCATTTTGTCTCTCAATTATATAAAATATTTTTATTCAAATATAAGTTACAAATAATAAATTATACAACTTGATATCAGATTGAATATGATTGACTTACATTTTTATCAAGTAAAATCAAAATTAATCTATTATTTTCGATGTCATTCCAAATGAACTCTACTCTAACAGTCATCAAATTCCACCACACATGATGCTGATTGAGTGATGAAAATACTTCAACACAGCAATGGGAGTCCATTTTCTACATAAATATGTAACTTTATTCATATTTAATTAATCATATTTATATTAGTATAAGTAGCAACTCAATAGAGTGGGTAATAAATTGGCAAAGAAAGAACTATAAGTAATGGCTAGTAGTTATTTCCTATTGAGTTCAACTTGCTTCTAAAGTTTAAACAATAAGAATTATTTAGTGAAAGAACTAAGGGGTCATTTACCAAACACTTACCCGGTAAGTGCTTACCGGTAAAATCTAACACTATCATTTACTTATCCGGTAAGCTTTAGTCCAACAAAATGATATCGTATGTTATAATTTACCTGGTTAACGCTTACCGCGGTAAGAGTCGTCGCCCTTACTTACCGGGAACACATACAAATTTCACCCCTTTGTGTGCATAGAACTTACATGCTAATGCATTACAGCAGGTCAAGAACATATAAAAGGGAACACAATCACGGTACTGTAGATGGAAAATTATCGAGCTCTACCATAAAATGGGCAAAGCTAAGTTGCTACATTACAACCTCAATTGATCTGTTCATCTTGAAGATACATATCATTGACGAAAACATATACGACACCGTAGAAGTTTACTTTACCAAACTACCTCCTAAGGATGCCAAGCAAACATATTACATATATAACAAAACATAACTTTTTGCACATGTAAGACTCCTAAACACATACAACCCATAATCAGAGTGTACCTTAATTGGCACCAGATTTCACTATAGCATTACTAACAATCTCTGCTTGCTCTATCACAAGCTCCACCTTCTCCAAGAAACCCTTAAGTTCTAGCACCTTAAGATTTTTTCACTTCTTCTCCATCTCCACCTTCTAACCCCCAGCCCCACAATCACATTTGATTAAACTCAAAATTTGAACAGAAGACCTACAACACTCTTTGTCCATATTTGTCATCCCTGTGCCACCAGGCATCAACCTTCTTCAAGAAAAATCTCAACAGCTCATTGACCATCAAAAGTAAATAAAAACGGGAGTATGATTATGTACTTGAGTTCTCTGCTAGTTTTCTATATCTCCCTAGATCATCTAGTAGTTCTCCATTTTTTTATGCTAGATGTTTTAGGTTCCAAAGAATCAATATATTTTAAACAAAAAATCAAGACTTTACTTTACCTTTTACCTCGGTAACAAATTAGATGAATGCAATAAACAAAGTGTTGGTCCCGTGAGGGTCTACAAGTAGAGAAACAGTTTGTAGAAGGGGAAGATGAATACAAACACAATATTTTTAAATTTAAAATATATATTGATAAATAAGATCAATACAGATTTTACAAGATTGTTTGCGGAAAGACAAGGTGATTAAAACCTATCTAAACAATTTTTAGTTACACACTAAGTCTTAGCAAATACAAGAAAAGAAATGTTGTAAAGAAGATCCTTTACTTAAGCCAGAAAATGCTTGAAGTAAGAATTAAGGTTAGAGAGTGAGTTGCGCGCACTCTGCATTGAGAAGAAACACTTCTATTTATACTCAGTGCATAAATGAACATTTAATGCAATATGGTAGGGTTAGACTGTGTGTCAAGCGTTAAGAGGAAGGCTTGTCCTTTGCTACAGTGAATAGTACAAAAAGCACTATTCATGAGCAGACATCCTTATCTAAAGTTGGTGGATAATAGAGTTGACTAGTCGGCTCCGTACCGTACCAACTTTCATAAGGGTATGGGTTTTGTCATTTGTGTGCATAAAGACAAGACAACAACAATCGTGCTAAGCAAGCTTCCTTTGATCGCTGAATGCTGGAATGACCTGAAGGTCTCATCATCATTCGCTGAAGCTTGAACAGTCTTCACACATATGTAGACAGACTTGTAATAACTGAATACAGCTTCAGATCACGTACTCGTCTGTCTCTAATCTTCAGTTTCAGTCTTCCGCGTTTGCTGAAGGTTCTTTGGTGTGAGTGTTGTCTTCTTGAAGTATTGTTGTCTCTGATAGATTTACAATGCAAGTTCTTCAGCGGTCACTGAATATACTTAGTGAAGATCGTTGGAACTGAAAAGACAGAAACATAAATACAACCTATAAGTGAAAAGGGATTATCATCAAATCACTGAGAGAGAAGATCAACACAGAGTTTTTGGAGTTCATATGTTTCAGGTTACAAGATACAAACCAGAAGTTAAAGAGCAATATCACATGCTGACATAAAGATTAAGAATGCATTACTATGCAGATGGAGTTCGAGTCAGTTAAGCAATTGAATATGTGGTTCTTTAAAATTGCATTACCTGAATAATTGCTTCCTTCAACTGTGAGTCGAAATCAGCCACCAATAGTAGCAAACCAGCAAATTCTTGAAATCTGATATCAACCCAATCATAAGTCTAGTTAATTCATAGTTTTTTAACGAATGATCATGATTCCGGTACTAACCAATTTTCTTGAAACCTTTTCGGGTTTATGTATTTTTCCAACTATACTAACTAACTTTAAAAACCACCCTTGAACAAATAAACATAGAATTCTCATCTCCATCATTTTGTTGATTTCAGATTGCTGCGTTTATTGCAGAACCAGTAATGGGAGCAGGATGGGTGATACCTCCACCTGTAGGTTATTTTGAGAAGGTTAAATTTCTATACCTTCACATATCAGCCTACTGTTATCACAGCAGGTTTTTGGACAGGAGCAACAGTAGGAACAAGAATGATTGTAACAGCAGGTGTGATAGCAGCCTGCTGTGATAGCAGTCCAAGGAAATAGAAGTTCAAGGAAATATTATTCTTTTTACATATAGTAATAAGTTATCTTATAGAAGTTTATCTTATAGAAGTTCAAGGAAATATTTCTATGTTTGATTATGTTACTTTCTACTCTTACTTTGGGAAAAGAATAAGATCCTTTTAAGCAATTACACTATACAGGGTCTAATAAAGTGGTATCACAGCAAGCAGCTATCAATTGTTGTGCTAGCAGTTACTTTTTGAGTTCGAGCAGGCTACTATCACACCTGCTGTGATAACAGTAGGCTGCTATCAATGATTGTCCTATCAATTGTTGTGCTAGCAGGTTGTTTTGTCCAACATATAACAGCAGGTTTTTAAAATATCAATTTACTTGGTTTTGTAGGAAGCATTCATAATAGTGAATGTAGTAGGCTTGGTGCCAATTGAACAGTTTACTTGGTTTTTTAGTTATGTTGTGAAGAATTTGCAAGTTAAGGTGACTAAAGGAAGCTAGAATTTGATGAAATGATAGCCAGAGGTTAGAGATATGATGAGTTTATAATGAACGTTTAGAACTCTAGCCATTCATTTATTCCAGAAATTGTATCAGGTTTGATATCTTGGTTCATTCTATTTTGTATCTAGGCATGCTATTCATTTTCTTCCTGTTTGTGATTGGCTGGGTGTAGCATATACAATAGCAAGTGTACAAACCGATCTCTTCCTCTTTAATGTACAAAAATACGTCCAAGAGAATACGTTTCAGCGAGTGTCAATGGTTGAACTCTCTGACTACCAAAGAAGAAAAAGCACAGTTGCTGTTAAGCTTAATGTAAATAGGTTATACCAGATTCTGAACCTGGGTATTTGGAAAGCAGATTTTCAGATAAAAAGAGTACATGTTCATTTGGCAGTTGTATTTAATACTCTTTGTATAATGGTAGATTTTTTTACCTTCTATTTGGATGCTGTTTTAGTTCCTAACCAATTTGATATTTTGGTTGGAAATTCCTGCTATTCTGCAAAAGAAGAAAAACCATCCAGAATTAAACAGAAGCAGTGTAAACAGATTATGGACAGTCATGTAGAAGCAATGCAAACAGAAGGTTGTTTATCTAACCATGACACTTTTTGCTATAACTTGCAAGAGTTTCAATTTCTAAAAAATATTAGTCTATAAGCAAGGTTAGGGAACTTGCTTACATCTAGAAGTTTTGGCCACTAAATTATGAAAGTTGTTTATCTAACCATGACACTTTTTGCTATAACCACCGATGTTTCTTGCAAAAAGAGAATGATTTTATGAAATATGTAAACCTTGTGAGCAGATATCTTGATCTAAATTATTAGAATCTAAATTATTAGAATATGCACCTGTTTACTTAGTTTATTTGATGGTTTGACATGAGCATCATTGTTAAAGGAGAATCAGGTGAGGATCATCTTGCCTTGATCAATTAAACATGCCTATATGATTGTATGACATGGTGATGGTGGGAAATGGCCCTCAACATTTCCATTTAGTGGGGCATGTCCTGATGGTTGAGTGGACATGCTTGTTGGTGGGAGTCCCACCTTAGGTTGTAAACATTCTGTTATTTTAATAAAAATTTCAATTTTATCTAAGTGGTTTAAGTCATGAATGTAAATATGTTCTGTTCTCCATTTTCATATTCAACTCAAAGATTTATTCATGTTTGTAGACATAAGGTTAAAGAAAGGTTGGTTCATATGGAGTCAACCTATTAATCGTTGGATATGAAGATTTTGTTTAGTTTTGGTTCTAATTTTCAGATAAGATGTCATTACTATGCAGATGGAGTTCGAGTCAGTTAAGCAATTGAATATGTGGTTCTTTGAAATTGCATTACCTGAATAATTGCTTCCTTCAACTGTGAGTCCAAATCAACCACCAATAGTAGCAAACCAGCAAATTCTTGAACTGCAAACACAGTAGTCACTCGTGACTTGTTCATGAAATCTGTAAACCTTGTGAGCAGATATCCTAAATTGAATTATTAGAATATGCATGTTTACCTAGTTTATTTGATGTTTTGACATGAGCATCATTGTCAAAGGAGAATCAGGTAAGGATCATCTTGCCTTGATCAATTAAACATGCTTATATGATTGCATGACATGGTGATGGTGGGAAATGGCCCTCAACATTTCCATTTAGTTCAAAGAACTTCAATGCACTAAAATTAACAGAACAGAACAAAAACAAAATCATAAAGGAGGATTGCATACAGGTCATATAATTTTCCTGATTGTTCTCTAAAATCCTATGAAATTTGATCTGCAAAGTCCATTTGTTTTGTATACAAACTGTCCCCATTACTGACAATTCATCTTCCACGTCTGCATTTGCCTTTTTTTAAAGATTTTTTTACTTTTAATCTCCATGCCAGTTATCAAGATTTATAAACAAAACCAAACGAACCCATTTATCAAGATTGATGAGTTTGAATGATTAAAAGTTGATGTAAATCGTGTGGTATGTGAAACGGAGGAACAGTTTTCAACCAGATTAGCAACCAATTTGGAAAACCTGATTATCAAAGAGGGACCAGAAACGGTATTGTAAAAGATCGTTAGTCGTTCTTGTGGATGACATTAGTTACATGTTTGTTGATTTCACATTGTTGTGTTTATTGTAGAACCAGTAATGGGAGCAGAACCTCCACCTGTAGGTTATTTTGAGAAGGTTGAATTTCTATACCTTCGCATATCAGCCTACTGTTATCACAGCAGGTTTTTGGACAGGAGCAACAGTAGGAACAAGAATGATTGTAACAGCAGGTGTGATAGCAGTCCAAGGAAATATTAATATTTTTACATGTAGTAAGCATGTTGGGGGGGGGGTTGAACCTTTTGAACTTGGACTATCTATATATCTTCAAAGGAAAAATGGTGAGAGGATGCAAGTTATTTTGAAATTACATAACTTGAATAATTGCTTCTTTCAAATGTGAGTGTAAGTGGGATCCAGAGTCTCTGACACTTTTAGGAAGCCATATCTGCAAAGAAAGTGCAATATTTGGTAATGTGCCATGTCATGAGCCAGAATCCCAGATCTAATCTAAGAGTACACAATCTGTATATGTCCTGATAAACTCATTATGTCACTTCCGAGACTCTTAAGAGAACACAAAATTTGTAGATAGTCTAGAAGCAAGCCTTCCATTATTCCCTATGGATGATACAGCAATAATGTTTACCTGGTCATTAATAAATGTTTTATGCTCTGTAGGCTACAGCAGGTGGTTCTAGGAAGAGGTCATTTTTTCATATCACTCTTGGGGGGTGCATGTTGGTCCTTAATTACACAAAAAAAAAAATACATGCATTACAACAGACACAAGGGTGCTGTGTGCATTATAGCAAGCACAGGGGTGTTCATATTAGAGGCACATGGTTGATGTGTGCATTACAGGGGTGTTCATATGTTATTTAATGTAAACAGGTTATACTTAAGCTTAATGTAAACAGGTTATACCAAATTTTGAACCTGGGTATTTGGAAAGCATGTTCTCAGATAAAAAGAGTACATGCTGACATAAAGATTAAGCTTAGGGTGTAGACTGACCCCTAAATTCACATGTTGCAAAGTAGTGCCTGTTTCCCTAAAGCTGGTGCTGTCGCACATTGATCCATATATGCACTTTGATTTCTTAACACAACATGGACTGTAAATAATAGCTAAAATGATTTTATATCTCTGATTGCAAACAACTTGCTTTGCTTCTAAATTCTATTATTGCAAATTCTATTGGAGTCAACATCATCTCAGTCGAAAAACAAGTTTTTTTAACCTAAATACTCAAAAATGGATAGAAAGGTGCTCACATAAGATTTTCTAAATGGCAAAAGAGTATATGTCACATTATTTGATCGAGTACACATAATTTCATAACTTGGATAACAAATGCAAATGTGATTATGCAATTGAGCACCCAGAGGAGGTAAGTTACTATTTAGAATACCTGCTAAATTAGCTTGGCTGAGTAGGCAGTAGCTTAGTATGTTGATCAAAACATATATAGAGCAATCAAGAAAGAATCTCTTTGTCTAGAATCATTGCTTAGGTCTTAACACCCTGCCCCATAAATGGACTGGTTATATGCGGTATCATGAAGGCTTAAYCATTGTGATGCAATCWTTTTCACTTTTATTCAACTAATCTTAACTCACCTTAATCTTCAACTCAGAATGGCCAGGTTTAATAAATCCTCCAGAAAGAAGTCTTTAGTTTCAGGTTTGCAATATGAACACCCATAACCCATTAGGAAAAAGAGAAAAAAAGTAATCCACCAGGAGGAAAGAAAGTGTCTTGGCGCCTTTGAGCTTGCTAACTGATCAAACTATCAAAGAGCTGGCAACTTCTGTCTTGATGAAATTAGTTAATTGCTTAAAGCTTGATGTTCTTATATTGCAATAGTTSATATATATGTACAAGGACTTCTTTTGCAAATGCAAAAAGATATCATGTGCTTAATGAATAAAAAATGCTGGAGATATTCAGGTAAGGATGATAAAAGATATTACATGAAACAATCTTCTATGTTATCATATTGATACAAAAATTAACGTAAGAACAGAAAGAGTACTTTTATTAGAGAATTTAGCCGTTGTCGAAGCTAGAAGATCAGCCTCAAGTCTCTGATCAAGCAAAATCTCGACCTTATAAAAAAAGATGAAGACCTGCCGCCACAACAATTTTAAGATGCTAAACAATAACCCACACGTTACACCTACTTCCTTTCAATTTCAATTTTGCTCGTTCAAAACAAGAACAATACAAAGAATTCATACCTCAAAATCAGCTACCAATAGTAACAAAGTAGCAAATTCTTGAACTGAAACAAAGTCAACAAAATCTCATATAAATAAAAACTTTTCTAACAAAAATCATTCAAAGACAAAACATGAATGACATTCATCTAAACAGATTCATGACGACCCTCAAAACCCTAAAATCTTCAACCTGATGAAAAGATGCTAAATGCTACATCAATGTACCAACCCAGATAAAAAAATCAAATACGAAACTTCGTACCTCAAAATCCGTATACTGATAGTAGCAAATTCTCGAACTGCAAACAGAGTCAACAGAAATCAAAATCTCTTATCATCCGACTCCAGTTCTCATCCTTATAAATATCAATCGGTTTTACGGATAGGAGAGATTAGAGATGGCGAGAAAATCGAATTGGGTTTAGGGATAAGATAGAAATCGAAATCTCTTTTCATCAAAATCTATCTCAGAATCTGTTGGAACCGATGAAATCGAATTGGGTTTATGGGATATGGATGGTGATAAAAATGGGATTGGGTTTAGGGATATGCATATTAGGGATGGCGATACATGTGAAAATCGATTTTGTTTATGGGAATGGATGGCGATAAAAATGGGATTGGGTTCAGGGATACACAGATTAGAGATGGCGGTGGTTTAGGGATAGTATGCTTTAGTAGGTTGTTGGGGGGTTTAAGGATAGTATGCTTTAGTAGGTTGTACCTAAAGCAATAAAGGTTGTCTTTAAGAGTTTTAGCCAAATGCTTTATAAAATAGTATAAATTTAAAAATATTTAAGATAATTACATACATATTTATAGATTAAAACCTGTAATTATAATAATCACAAAACGGTACACATGTTTAGTTTCTTTCTTTAGTGGAAGCATATGTGTCCTTTGTGTGCAACCCTTTAGGTTTACATGGCTCGTTGGTAGTGTATCTAGGTGACACGTAACGTGGGTATAGCATACAACTTATTGTAGTTCATATAAATTGATACTTTTCATCTATGAATTTTGATTATTCCGATATTTTGTATCGAATTTTACAGTTGAAACAGAAAGTTCATAGGTGAAACAATTTTGTTTAAAGTTCATAATATTGTTTTGTTTATGTTCCATTTTTTTTACTGAAGTTCATGTATGAAACTAGAGAGTGAATGAGATAATTAAGAAATTTTAAACAAAGTAAATGAGATAATTAAAATTAAAGAACGTGATGTTAAACAAATGAGATCATTAAGGGATGTGATATCAATTTATGAAAAAACACCACCAAATCTTTTAATTAACTATTAAAACCTTTAGCTTTGCCTAAGTTCCCCAACAGTGGCGCTAAAAATTTGTTGCGAGATTTATGCGAAGATATAAAATCTTTTAGACTGTGTGCAAATAAAAACCCATGCAAGTATACACGTATCAACCCACTTTCGTCTTTTACAAGTAATAAAAACATTAAGATACCGAATATCGATCCACAAGGAAAAAAGTGTTAAAAGTTTTAGATAAAGTCCAAAAAAAGATTAGATTTTAGATGGCGAGTTCGAAGAATTGTTTTTGGTTTGGTAATTTTAAGACTAAATGATACAAATAATTAATTTAAAAGAAACCAATGGTGTAGGGATCAGTTAAAATTTTTGGACAAATAAATCAGATAGAACTTTATAGATAATAACTTATCCTTAACCAACCATCAGCTTGTGTAAGGTACTCTCTCGAGGTTGAGAAGAGCACTTATCCAAGGACCGATTCTAATGTTTCCAGAATAAAATCAGTCATAGCAATGGCACAATCTATCATTTATATAAGTTATACGGAATGAAAACAAGTCTACTTGGTTCTAAGTAACTCTCTCGAGTATACTTCCGTATTATTCAAGTTGATGTGTTCGAGATGGCTTATCTCTAAGTTCATTAAACTGTTAACGTTGTTATGCAAAAATCAACTTGTCAATAGAGATGCAATTTTTATCAATATAAACTTGAATAAATGGTTGGAAAGATTTATTAATGTTTAACAAATTTCTATCGTCAAAGTCAATCTTTTATCTTAATGTTACCCTACACCCAAGCTAAGGTTGTCAGCCTATCATCGCTCGGGATTCTTGTATATCTATTTTAAGTATCTCTGCACAAACCGACAAACAAATGACATGTGAATGTATTTTAAAAGTAGTTATTTTATTTCTTACTTTATGAAAATCATTTGTTAACTATGGTGATTATATGTGTTAAGTAAATTGTGATAACCATGTGATAAATAAGCAATGTGGTCATTTTTTACATTATACATTAATCAATTTTGTCGTAACTAGGTTGTGATATGCAAGAAATCTAAAATTCATTTGCATTAATGTAACTAGATTTGTGATAAGTCACATGATTTGTAAGTTGTGATAATGATGTGATTACTATATGCATATTTTGTGATAAGCAAGACATATTAATTGGTGCAAAATATTGATTTAATTGTAATTTAAAACAATACAAATAAGTGATTTTAACAACGATATCACAGAAAATCACTAATTTAACAGCCATATCGCATGATTATCACACCCATATCGCATGATGTATGTATGTGATACATAAGCTATGTAATCATGTGATGAATAAGATATATTAATTCGTTCAGAATATTGTTTTCACTAAAATATAAAACAATGCAAATTAGTGTGTTATTATCTTTACCTTAATGTCAATTTCTTCGTTCTCTCTTGGTCTATCTTCATGTTGTTCATCAACCAATGTCTCTGCAACATTGCCAATCCTAAAACCACCGTTAAAAAGTTCTATTGATTCCCGTCTTCTTAGAAGGTCCGTTGACCAACTTGCAATGCATGGTCTTTTGCGTATCATGTGCACAACATCACATTGAATGGTGTCGACGTACAGAAGCTTCATTTAAAAGTGCAAGAAGTAAAATTCCCGTCACAATTTATATTTCATGATTATTCATTCACAATAAATAACCATTGATAATAAGTACCAATATAAACTGTGACAAATAAAACATTAGCTATCAGGTTCACAAACATTTACATTCCCAAATTGTGTCTTGTTCATACACTTCAAGTTCTGTTACGGAATTCTTAGCTCTTAGCGGTTCGAGTTGCGAGGACTAATTGAAATCATTCCGTGTTACTAATATTCGATAATGTGAGTAGATTGAAGCACTTGTACTTCACAGTTTTGAACCGAGGGATAATAAAACAAATGTTATTGAGTTAGCGTGATGTATAACAGTGATTATCACACCCAAATCACATGATTATCACACCTAATATAATCCTAACCTATCGAAACCATTCTAAGTCGTTGTGATAATGTCTAACATAACCAATTGAAACCATGTTGAAATCGAGTGACATTGATATCACATGAGTATCACAACTAATCGATTAAAAACTTATTCAAAACGAGTAATTTTGAAAGACACTTTGAATTTGTCCGCTTGTTGCATGCAATGGCTTCTCGATTAGGGTTCTTGGTCGATTAGGGTTGCGTGTTCTTGGTTGATTAGGGTTGCGTGTTCTTGGTTGATCACCGTCGCTCAACACCGTCGCTGTCGGTTGTTTTTGCGATTTGAAGTTATGCTTGTATTTCATAACCGTTTACTAGATGATAATGAAAAGGCTGATCGTGTTTAAAAGATTTTGATCGTGTTTAAAAGATTTGATATATCATTTTCATTATTACCTTTTTAATTTTAAATTTTTTTGAATCTTTTTCAATTTCAATTTTAATTTTAAAAATCTTTTAATTTTATTTTTTATCAGAATATGTGGTTATTGAGTTGTTCTCGCGTTTTCGTAAATCACAGGGGTTCTCGTTTGAAC